GAAAAAAGGCTGAAAGACATACTAAATACACATTAAAATAACAACAATTTCCAGAACAGCAGCAGAAAGCAACCACCAGGAAGGGCAAGCAATTAAACAAGAGGAAAGAGCAGAAAACCAACAATAGGAACATAACATGACAAGGCTGATCTAGTATATATCAGTTATATCCATAAAGGTAAATGGCACCAACTCACCTATCAAAAGAAATAGCTTGACAGAATGGATCAAGAAACAGGACCCCACAATATGATGTATACAAAAAACATATATGTCTCTAAAGGAAACTCACAGATTAAAAGTCAAAGGGTGGAAAACAGTATACCATCCAACAGAAACCTGGAAAAAACCAGCAGTAGCTATTCTGTTGGCAGACAATGTGAAATTCAAACCTAAAATGATTAAAAGAGATAAGGAAGGTCACTACATATTTATTAGTGGGAAATCTCAAGAAAAAGACATATTAATGATGAATATATAGGTACCAACTACAGGAGCACCCAACTATATAAGACAAATAAAATGGATAGGAAAAACCGAATAGACAAGAACACGATTGTAATAGGAGAACTTAATACCACACTCACAAAGACATAGGTCAAAACGAACTAGACAAAAAAGGTCAAAAAGAAGCAAAATAAATAGCAGAACTGAATCAACCCTGTGGCAAATGAACTTACTAAACCTAGTAGATGTTTACAGTGTCCCACCCAACCACGTCAGAATGTACATTCTTCTCAGCTGCACATGGGACATTCACCAAAATAGGCCATATATTAATGCATAAAACATTCTTCAGTAAATGGAAAAGGATTGAAATTGTACCACGCATACTATCCAACCATAACACACTAAAACTGGAAATTAATGTCAAAAGAATTGCGAAACCTGCATAAACACATGGAAGTTAAATAACCTTCTGAACAACAAGTGGGTTACAGGTGAAATTAACAACAAATAAAGTAATCCCTACAATTCAATGAAAATGCAGAAACAACATACTGTAACCTGTGGGACACACTGAAAGCGGTCCTAAGAGGAAAACACATACCCATGAATTGTCGCATCAAGAAAACAGAACGAGCACAAATAAATGACCTAAAGCTACATCTCAAACTTCTAGAAAAGGAAGAGAAAGTCAAACCCAAAGGTCATAGAAAACAGAAAATCATAAGCATCAGAGCAGAAAGTAATGCAATTAAAACTAAAATAATAATAGTAATACTAAAAAATTCACAAATCAATCAGTCCGTTTTTTTGAGAGAAGAAACAAAATTGATAAACCTCTAGCCAATCTTTTCAAGAAAAAGAAAGAAAAAAACTCAAACTCATGCAACAAGAACTCAAAAGAGTAAATTCTACAGAGCCCATGGAAATTCAAAAGATCATGAATACCTACTTTGAAAATCTTTACTCACATAGGGTGGAAAACACAAAAGAAATGGACAGATTTCTAGAAATGTGTGAACTACCAAAGCTTAATCAAGAATATATAACAATTTTGAATGACCCAATATCAGCGACTGAAACTGAAAACGTGATTACATAACTTACCAACAAAGAAAAGCCCAAGTCCTGATAAATTCACGGGTGAATTCTACGTGAAATTTAGAGAAAATATGATGCCAATTCTCCTTAAACTCTTCAATCTAATTGAAAGAGAAGCAATCCTCCCTAATTCATTCCTGGAGGCAGGTATCACTTTGATACCAAAACCATAGAAAGACCCAACCAAAAGGGAGAATAGGCCAGTCTCACTAAGGAACACTGATGCAAAGATTCTCAAGATAATACTGGCAGCAAACAGAATGCAGCAGTTCATCAAGACTGTACACCACAACCAAGTGGAATTTATCCCAGAAAGGCAGAGATGGTTTAACATACACCGATCAATAAATATAACAGAGCCAAAGACAAAAATCACACCATCATCTCAACAGATGCAGAAAAAACTTTTGATGAAGTCCAACGCTTGTTTAGGATAAAAGCCCTACAGACACTTGGAATACATGGTATATACCTCAATCTCATAAAGGCCACCTATGACAAACAACAGCCAACACCATATTAAATGGACAAAAACTGAAAACATTCACTCAAAAAGCAAGAACAAGACAAGGATGTCCACTATCACCACTCCCATTCAATATAGTTCTGGAAACACTAGGCAGGGCAATCAGACAAGAGAGAAATATAAAAGGAATAAAGATAGGAAAGGAAGAAGTCAAATACCACTATTTGTAGATAACATGATACTTTATGCAGAAGACCCAAAAACTCCATCAAAAGACTACTAGAGGTAATAAACAAATTCAGCAGCAAGCTGGATACAAAGTCAGTACTCAAAAATCAATAGCATTCCTGTGCACAAACCAAAAACTCACCAAGAGAAATTCTGCTTTTCAGAAATATTGCTTTTCAGAAAAGCATATTAAAAAATGAAATACCGAGGAATAAACCTCACCAAAAATGTAAAAGATCTATATGTTGGAAATCATGCCACCCTAAAAAAGGACACTGAAGAGAATATTAGAAAATGGGAGGATACTCCTCACTCTTGGCTAGGAAGAGCCAACATTGTGAAAATGATCACATCTCCAAACTGTTACACAGATTCATTGCAAACCCAATCAAAATATCATTAACACACCTAACAGATCTAGAGAAAACACTCCTAAAATTCATTTGGAAACAGAATAAACCTACAATACCAAAGGTGATTCTGGGCAACAAAGGCCAAGCAAGAGGCTTCTCAATTCCTAACTTGAAACTATACTACAAAGCCACAGTGATAAAAAATCAGCATGGTACTGGCAAAAACACAGACCTGAGGATCAACGGAACAGATCAGAAGATGCAAACACAACTACAGACACACTCAGCCACCTTATTATATTAGACAAAGGGGGTAAACATGTTTACTTTTGCCTCTTTATTAAATGGTGTTGGAAAAACTGGCTTTCCATATACCGAAGACTAAACCTAGGCCCATGTCTATCACCACGCACTACAGTCAAAATGATCTAAATATCTACATGATCTACAGATCTATATATTAAAACAGAAACACTGAATCTACTGGAACACAAGTTAGGTAGAAATCTTGGACATACTGGGGTAGGCAGAGAATTCATGAACAAAATGCAAACTGCACAGAAAATACTTCAAAGAATCAGCAACTGGGATCTCGTATTATTGAAAAGTTTTTACACTTCAAAAGAAATCACCAACAAAGTGAAAAGAAAATCCACAGAATGGGAAAGAATCCTAACCAGCAATCCCTCAGACAAAGGACTTATATCCAGAGCATACAAAGAATTGAAAAACATGAACCCCACAAATTCAAAGGTCCTCTCCAAAAACAGGCATCTGAGATGAACACACATTTCTCAGATGAAGATATACAAATGGAAAATAAATACATGAAGAAATGTTCACCATCACTGGTCATTCGAGAAAGGCAAATTACAACAGTATTGTCATTTCATCTCACTCCAGGAGGCATGGCTACCATCAAGAAATCTACAGATAACAAATGGTGGTGAGGCTGTAGGGGAAAAGGAACACTTTTTCACTGTCGGTAGGAATTTAGAGTGGTGTGGCCACTGTGGAAATCAGTACAGAGATTCGTCAAAAAACTTGGATTGGAAGTTCCATTCAATCCAGCTATTCCTCCCGTAGGTATTTTCCCAGAAAAATTGTAAAGGTCATGTCACAGTGATATATGCCCACTCATGTTACAGCAGCACAATTTATGATAGCTTAATCTTAAAAACAACCAAAATGCCAATAAATCGCAGAGAGGATGAAAAAGATGTGGTACATTTATACATTGGAATATTACTTTTTGTTTCTAATCAAACAGGAAAGTTTGTGCTGTCATTGTTTGTGTATCCACTTTTATGCTTTCATTTTGTAACTTGAACAAAGTTCATTTTGTAACTTGCTTATAAGATAACATTACGAATTTATCAACTAGGGATTTCTTAGTGTCATTATTTAAATTCTATAATATTTCTATCCTTATCTTATTTTTTCTATATAAAAAAAAGCAAAAGAAATCAATACATTGTTATATACATCAAAGAATATAACTCTATGTATGTTTAAGTGTGTAAAATAGATAACCACGGTACTAAGTTTTAGATCATTGAAAAGAATGGTTTACACTGTCAAAAGATGAGTGTCTATCCACTTTTTATGCTATGGTTCTGTAAGTTGAACAACTATTTCTATGAGAACAAAATGTAATTTATTAACCAGTGATTAATTTATTAGTTTTTTAAATTTTATAATATTTGTTTTGCTTTCTTCTGTTTGGGTTCTTTTTTCTTTAAATACAAAACAGTAATGAGAACACTGCTGAACATGAATGAACACTGCACCAACTGGAATAAGTTCAATCAAAACACAACATATAATTTCATGCGTATTTTCCAAAACAGGGAAATATACAGGAAGTATACTAAATTAATGGTTGCTTAGGGTCTCATTCATAAAAAACAAATCATATCTATTTAAGAATAATGATGCACATTCTTAAGATAAAATCCATTATTTTTATGAGATTAGTTGGAGTTTTGTTTGATTTTGCTTTTTGTTTAAATAGTTTGATTGTAATGTATCATATCTATGTTCTGTTTTAAAACACAAGAAAATTACTAATTAAGAATAAAACAAATGTCCCAGCATGGGGTCACATTCCTGTAAAATCAGGGATGTTTGGACAAGTGGACTGCTTTCACTTCAAAGCCAGAATAGGATACAGTTAGCACAAGGTCACCCTGCATTACATGGTAACATTCTGTTTCAAAACATGAAACCAGAAAACAAACAAATAATAAGGAAAATTCATACAAAATGTCCATACGTAAAATAACTTCCATTAACTCTTGATTTTCCATGTCCCCTCCTTACAATTAACAATTAGAAATTACTACAAAAAAAGTATATATTAAACATAGATTATGCCCAAAACAGGAACTCAAAGTTGTACTGACCTTCCAGTAGTCAGCCTGTAAACTGTAGTATCGCTGATATGCAGATAATGCTATAAAAGGAAATATTTAAAACAGGTCAAACTGCATCCCAATGAACAAGGAAACATTATTAATTTTTTTTAATACATGTTGCCTAAGTTCCTAGTTTCAAAGCAAAAAATGACAAAACTAACCAATTTAAATTTTGTAGCCTACAAACTTAGGAATGGAGAAAGATGCTGAAATCTCACCCATGAACTTCCCCAATATAAAATCAATCCAACTTATCCTAGGAAATGAAACTGATGAAACTTATACATACTGTATTTTTCTTACCATGCAACTCACTTCCCAAAAGGCAAGTACCAAAAAGGGAAGTTAACAACCTGGCATACCTCCTTTCACACAGTAAAGGTTTCCTTACTTACTTTCAGTGTAAAGACTAAGAAAACCACCCCCAGTCCTCTAGATAAAATGTTCTCAAATCACAAAAAATACTTCCTGACAGATGCAAAAAGGGATAAAAGTAAAAGATGGGGACACACATATGCAAAGAATTAATGAACAATTTTTTTAAGTGAGGAAACTATTACTGAACAACAGACTCACAATCTCTGAATAAAATCTAAACATTTACTTGAGGTAAACTTTTAAATGCACATCACTTTAAAATCTGGATCCTTAAAAGAATAAAAACTTTTAAAACTGCAAAGCATCAAAGCAACGGCAAGCTAGACATACTGTTATACATTAAGAATTTTATGTTTTATACAAACTTTCTGTACAAACTTCATATACCTTTATAGTAGAACTATACATGTTATTTGTCTTTCATAAATTGAACCACAATGTAGTTTTAAAAAAATCTAAACTGGCAATGAAGAAAACTTGCTTTCTGAATTGTAAAATGACAAACACTACTTAGCCTTAAAATTTGAAAACAATCAATATAATAATATTCAAGAGACAGGACACATTAAGTCATGATATAAAGTATGTTTCAAGTCTGAGAACTTAATGACTAAAATACTTCTTTTTCAAAACCAAAAAGATTTCCAGGAAGATAGTGGTGCAGTTAGCAGCACAGAAAACAGCCTATCTGAGAGTGACCATCCAAATGCTGTAAAGAGAACCAGGGATTTAACTGGAAGGACACAGATTCTCTGGACACAGGGAGAATCTGAAGTGTGAACTGAAGCCAAAAGAGAATGAAAAGAAAACCTTCACCAAGAAGAGGGCTCCTTTGCCCACCAGACTCACTACATGAGATTTGTTGGAACATGGGTACAAACTGTCAAGATGACACTGGAGGCTGGCAACCCTGAAGGCCTCTGCAGAGAGACATGGCAGTGCAGGGGAACAGTGGACATGAAAGACTATACTGGCTGGCACTGTGGGCCTTGATAAACCAAGACTGGGTCACAGAAAATAATGTGGCACAGTGCTAAAGAACCACGGACTAGGTTAACCAAACAACAACTTCTCATGTCTAACAAACTAAAGAGGCAAGATTTTTCCAAAGACTCAAACCCAAAAAGCAGCTAAACCTGGAAGATATCTCAGAGAAGGAGTTATCACCTAGGTATCCTAAAATAAAGCAATAAAGCAACCCCACCATAGGCAACTTACAAGCATCACACCATGAACTAAACTGGAAAAAGAAAATAAATGAGAAGACGATTAAACAATATGTAATCCCAATTTTCCAAAGACAAAGTTTACCAAAGGCAAAACCGGAGGCAATGAGGTGCAACAATCCAAAATCACCCCCATCAGGTCTCTCTGAACAACAGAGCAATTGAATGAGGCTCTGGAAAAAATGAAATCAGAAAATAAACACCATGCTTAGTGATGTTACAGTAGACATAGACCAAAACAATAGAGAAGCTTAAGCAAATTACAGAAACGCAGCACAGAATGAAATGGAATCCATACAGCAGATTCAATCAGATATTGTTTGGTCCTGCTACAGGAGAGAGATAAGAGAGAGAAAACAAAGAAAAAGAGGGAGAAAACGAAACAAAGGAAAAAGGGAAGGAGAGGGGAGGGGAGGGGAGAGAAGGGGAGGGTAGCAGAGAGAAGGGAAGAGAAAGGAAAAGAGGCCTTTATTGCAGTCACAGGAGGGCTGTTAAAGAGATACAAGCACCCCCTGGAAGCATCCAGGGGAAAAAACACAGGCTTTATTTGGAATTGACACTGGGTAGAGTTAAAGGGGTGAATAGGGGAGCATGGCACACACCTGAAGAGCTGGCTTAACTTTTGACTTGCAAGAAGAACACGGGGCGGGGGGAGTAGTTTTGAAGGGAGGTGGCTCTCCAGTGCCATGTTAACTTGCACAAGGGAAAAACCCATCACAAACCAGGGGAATGAAAACTCCATTGAAAGTATTCAAGGTACATTAGGTCAATGTGAGGATAAGATCTCAGATATTGAAGACAGGCTTGCAATTAGTGTCTAGGAAAAAAAAGACTTCTCAAAAGTAGGGACCATGACACATCACTACAGCAGCTGCTAGATGAGACAAAATAGATGAACCTGAGGTTAACTGAAATCAATGAACCAGGAGGAAATACCACAAGTGTCATCAAAAAAAATGTTGACAGACAACACAGAAAAATTTTCTGGTACAGATAAAATAATTTGATATACAAATAACTGAGGAATATAGAATTCCAATTAGCAATGATTTTTTAAAAATCTACAGCTAGGCATTTCACAGTCAAGATTCTAGAAATTCAGCTGGGCGCGGTGGCTCATGTCTGTAATCCCAGCACTCCAGAGGCCGAAGCAGGAAGATCCTTGTGAGTTTGAGAGCAGCCTGAGCCACAAAGTGAGCTCAAGGACTGCCAAACTGCACAGAGAGACCCTGTCTCAAAAAGACCCCCCAAAAAGATTCTAGAAATTCAGCACAGGAATACAATCTTAAAAGCGGTTTAAACAGAAACAAATCACCTATAAAGGAAAGCCTATCAGACTCACAGCTGCCTTCTCAGCACAAACTCTCAAGCCAAGGAGACTTTGAAGTCAAGTACACCAAATTAAAAGGAAAACAACTTTCAACCTAAACTGATTTATCCTGCTACACACCCTTTAAAAATTGATGGAGAAATAAGATATTTCCATAACAAAGAACATCTGAGGAAACTTATGATCACCAAAACACAAAATGTTCTGAAGGACATTCTAGAAAGAGATAATAAGATGAGAGCTCCATGAACCCCAACAGAACGAATCCACCAGGGAGGGCAAACAATTAGAGGGAAGAGGAAAAAAAGCAGAGGGAGCCAACAACATGAAAATAACATGACAAGCATACATCAATACATATCAGTTGTAACCATCAGTGTTAATGGTCTTTTTTTTTTTTCTTTTTCGTTTTTATCGGTACCAGGGATCGAACTCACGACTGCCTGCTTGCAAGGCAGGCGCTTATGCAGCTGAGCTAAATCCCCAGCCCAGTGTTAATGGTCTTAATTCACAGTCAGTCATAGACTGACAGAAGAGATCAAGAAGCACGATCCAAAAATATGCTGCATACAAGAAACACATTTAATTCAAAAGAAATTCATAGACAAAGTCAAAGGATAAAAACAGTACTCCATGCAACAGGAACCCATGAAAAAGCAGGGGTAGCTATTTTGTTTGCAAACAAAGTGAATTTCAAACCAACACTGATTAAGAAAGACAAAGCTGGTCACTACATCATCATTAAGGGAACAATCCAAGGAAAAGACATTACGATCATAAACATATGCAACAATACTAGTGCACACAACTATGTAAAAGTTACTAACAGACATGAAAAATCAGGAGTCCTGATACAACTGTTTTGGGAGATCTCAATGACCCCATCACAAAAAGATAGATCAACTAGACAAAAAATGAATAATGAAATACTAGAACTGAATCAAACTTTTGAACCAATGCACTTACTAGAAGTCTATAGTGTCCCATCCCATGACATCGGAATACACATTCTTCTCAGCTGCATTGCATGGGATATTCTTCGCAACAGACCACATACTGGCTTATTGAATATGACATTGCAATGCACTGCAAATGCATGTCAAAGGAAACCACAAGAACTTCATAAATTTGTGGAAACTAAATAGTACTCCACTGAACAACCAATGGGTCACAGATGAAATTAAAGAAGAAATTAGCTTTTATAGTTGAATGATAATGACAATTAAGCGTACCAAAACCTGTGAGACACAATAAAAGCAGCCTTAAAAGGCAAACTTAAGAGCAGTAAATACATAAGCAAAACTGAGCAGGCACATACAAACAACTTAAATTTGAACCACAGATTTCTAGAAAAAGAACAGCAGGATAAACCAACAGCTCATACAAAGGAGGAAATTATAAAAATCAGGGTAGAAATTAACACACTGGACACTAAAAACTTACAATGAATCAGAGTTGGTTCTTGAAGGATTAAAAAAGACTAAATAAAACTCATATTCTAACAAGATGGAAAATACAGAAGAAATGAACACATTCCTGGATATATATATATAAAGTACCAAAGCTGAATCAAGAAGATATGACAACCCGAAGTAACCCAGTATCAATGAATCAAATCAAAGATGTAACTTTAAAAAACTACCAACCAATTAATTAATTAAATTAATTAATTAGATAAATTTTTAAAAGCCCTGTCAACAAAGAAAAGCCCAGGCCCTGATGGATTCACTTCAGAATTCTACAAGAAATTTATGGAAGACCTAACAGCACTATTCTCAAACTCCTTAATGAAATTGAAAAGGAATGCTCCCAAATTCATTCCTGTAAGCATGCATTTCTCCTAATTCAAAAACTAGTGAAGGGCCCAACTAAGAAAGAGAATTACAAGCCATCTCCCTAATGAACAATGCTGCAGAAAATCCTTAATAAGATACTGGCAAACAGACTGCAGCAAATCGTCAAGCAGTCTGTACAACATGAGCAAGTGGAATTCATCCCAGGGATGCAGACCCGGTCCAGTATACATAATCCATACATGTAGTATACCACATTAAGAGGCAAGGACAAAAATCATGATTGTCTCAACAGACGCTGAAAGCATGTT